TATATTTGCTTAGTTTCTTTTATTGGATGGTACAGCGCTATGGCCAAGTCTAGATTAATTTGAGCTATCTGTGATTAAAGGTAACTATGGTAACAAATAGACCCATTTTCGATTGTTTTGTTCATTCATCTGTTCGATGAATTTTTGTGAAAAAATTTCGCTTTCCGGAGTTAATATCCGATAATCGGGGCGCTTGATTATTAATTCTGCTTATCTAATATTTATTAACCTAAGCTAACTTTGCCTTTATTTGTTTGGAATCAATTGTCAGCTGATTTCTTTTCTGCTTGAAATTGGTGAGCTCAAAATTTATGCTAAATATCCTCATGGGAAGCCATTAGATTGGGGTAGCTTGTACCGAAACAAAAAATGATCTAATTTGAAAGTAATTTTTAAGGTTAATAAACCCTTAAAAGGTTCCACAAATCTAAGTTGTAAGTTTTAAGCCTGCAAAGTTTTTTCAACGTAAACATTGATTTTGCCCAAAATAGTTTTAAAAAAAATACTGAGTACCAGTTTAATTGTGAGCATCAATAGTACGAGAAGACTCTTACGTATTAACCTCCGATAAGCTGTTCTTTTTTGGGCGCTAATTTATCTTCTTTAGTCGATCTCGCGTTTTTCTCTTTTTCCCGGTCTTTGACGCCCAAAGCGACTGTTTGTTTATAAACTAATTGGTATGAAAGATTATAACTGGTTTTTAATCACAAATTGATAGCCTTGTTTTTCTCTTTTAAATAAATCCTAGGCTAATTAATCAAATTTGAGTTACTCCCAAAAGAGTTTGAATAGCTCTGTGGTGTCTCGTTATTGTCTGGCACTGGCGTTATTGACATAAAAGTACTCAATTACCATGCCAAGCTAGCTTAGTGGGTTGCATTTTCGTCTCTCCTCGAAATTTTTTTGCAATTTTTATCAAATTGGAGTGTCGACCTAATTACTGCTTTGTAAATTATGTTATGAATTATATCATTCAACAATAATTGAGACAAAGGTTGGAAAATTTTGTAAGATTCTTTTGTCGACACTTTTATCCAACAATTTTTTCGACGTTGTGGCTTTTGTCTCGTACTTTGCTGGCTAGATTGTCATTGTTTGTTTGTGATGCATGGCAGTTTCAACTAAATTTTTTTTGGTTTTTAATTATTAATTTTTGCATTAATTACCGTGGCGAAAACATTCTGTCCTGTTTTCACAGTCATTACTCGTGTTTTTCCTTGCTTCAGGCTCCGAAAAAGTTCGTGTTCAAGTTTTCGAAAACGCAGACAATTTTATATCCTGAGGATTTTCTTGAAAGCTCATTTAATTTCTCTAAAAATCCTTTCCTGGCTACCTTAATTTGCTTCCGACTATTTTTTATCACCTCACTTTCTCTGAAAAGCCCCGCCCTGTCTTTGTACATAAAACTCTCCAGTTTTAATTAAAATAGTATATCGGACACGAAAGTGGGATTTGCTGAGATCATTTTCATTAGAGACAGGTGTACTTGACCTGTCTTCCTCTTTTCGGTTCCATTTCGTATTCATTTAATCCTGTTGGGTACCTTGTAGACGTGCGATAGTCAAAATATCCTATAATCTATAATAGGAAATTAGCCAAATTTCTCTATTTTGAAAAGTAAAATAGTTTTTGGTAAAGTTTTTTTTCTCAATGACTCGACCCCTCGTTAGTCAAAAAACAAACCCGGCTTTTTACTGATTTCCCATTTTTGGCAGAGCAAGTCTATACTTTTTCTGAAGGCACCAATATAGACTAAACTCTTTCTTAAGTTATCTCAAAAATGCATTCTGATATTTTCGAAAAACTTTACCCGTTTGCGTTGCAGAAGTTTTGCAAAAAATTGAAAAGCTTTGTGAGATCTCGGAAAATCAAGGCAACCCACCTCGTTCCTCAAAAATTTTATGTATTCCCACTTTTCCATGTTCATTTTTGGATCTTTTCTATACCGGCTGATTTTTGTTCAAACCAAACCAGTTGATTTCCTAAACCTGCTTCAAACCGCAAACAAGAAGACCTCCGCTTTTGTTCCTGATCATCAATCCGTTTCCTATCGATAATTCTGATTTATCTATTTTTATCTGATCTTATACCATCATAAATAATAAAAAAAAAACGCGAAAAAACATCAGTTTCTGATCGCTGTTATTTATTCAGGTATAGTTTGAATCTGCTATGGTATTAAGCATTGATTATAATTGTCAAAGCATTTTTTGACCACGCTTATATGCAGTTTTATAGCAGTTATTTTGCTCACTCAAAAAGTAGTTTTGTCTTTGAAAATCGAGACAATTATTTGCACAACAATAATTCAAGTTGTTTTAAAATTAGCTTACCTCTTCTGATAATTATTCGCATCGTTCATTAAAACGTGTGGTTTTTTTGTTATAACTGAGAGCAGTTAAACCTCTTTGATTAATTTTGATGAGTTTGACGAGTTAATTGAGTGATAATCAGTCTGACTGTGATAGTGGCCTGGTTAATTTTGGATTTCAATTTTTAAAAAATTTCTTTTGTAGCGAGCCGAGCAGTTACTGTGATTCAGTGCAGAGAAATGCCTCGAAGCCGACTGCATACCCCGAGCACGGATAAGGATGGCAACTGGGTTAGTGAAACTTTCAGTCTCAGTTATTTTTTTTATATGAAAGCTGAAACTTGTTACCTATCTTCTCCCTACTGTACCTAGTAAAGGATACCCCCCCCCCCAGAATGAGACAATTCAACGCGGTCAAGCATTTATGAATTTCGCGCATTTGACTGCCCCTAAAAATGAATAAAAATGCCTCGAAGTAGACTGCATACCCCGAGCACGGATAAGGATGGCAACTGGGCTAGTAAAACTTTCAGTTTCAGTTATTTTTTTTATATGAAAGCTGAAACTTGTTACCTATCTTCTCCCTACTGTACCTAGTAAAGGATACCCCCCCCCCAGAATGAGACAATTCAACGCGGTCAAGCATTTATGAATTTCGCGCATTGGACTGCCCCTAAAAATGAATAAATGCCTCGAAGTAGACTGCATACCCCGAGCACGGATAAGGATGGCAACTGGGTTAGTGAACTTTCAGTTTCAGTTATTTTTTTAATATGAAAGCTGAAACTTGTTACCTATCTTCTCCCTACTGTACCTAGTAAAGGATACCCCCCCCCCCCCCCAGAATGAGACAATTCAACGCGGTCAAGCATTTATGAATTTCGCGCATTGGACTGCCCCTAAAAATGAATAAATGCCTCGAAGTAGACAGCATACCCCGAGCACGGATAAGGATGGCAACTGGGCTAGTAAAACTTTCAGTTTCAGTTATTTTTTTTATATGAAAGCTGAAACTTGTTACCTATCTTCTCCCTACTGTACCTAGTAAAGTATACCCCCCCCCCCCAGAATGAGACAATTCAACGCGGTCAAGCATTTATGAATTTCGCGCATTGGACTGCCCCTAAAAATGAATAAATGCCTCGAAGTAGACTGCATACCCCGAGCACGGATAAGGATCGCAACTGGGCTAGTAAAACTTTCAGTTTCAGTTATTTTTTTTATATGAAAGCTGAAACGTGTTACCTATCTTCTCCCTACTGTACCTAGTAAAGGATACCCCCCTCCCCCCAGAATGAAACAATTCAACGCGGTCAAGCATTTATGAATTTCGCGCATTGGACTGTCCCTAATAATAAATAAATTCATTCTAATCCGTTTTTGCGGAATGAATCACCAAGTGTTTGATGCTCTGGGATAGTCAAAATATGCTTCAAACAAAAAAACCAAACAACAAAACTGAAAATGAAATGTTTCAAATTTCTTTCGACACCTGGTTTTTTTTAACTTCCTGCTCATTTGAGTAAAATATGGAAGTAAAAAATGGTCCAATACGACTAAGCAAAATTGAACTCAGAACCAAATAGAAAAAAACAGCACCCTATTGCTTTCGAAGAAGCATAGAATGGTACAACCACAGAGCTTGAAGCTGAAAACTTGAAGAAATAACGAGAAAACAATTGTTTTCCATTTTTTCTACAAAACGTCAGCTGTTTTCTTGTATCTTGAGAGGACTTCAAATTCAGCTGCAGAAGTATTAAGACCATTTATCCACGAGAGAAAGAACCAACATACGAGCTGTACAGCTCTTCACGACGATCCGCTGTTGTGCCCCTGCTTAAGACCTACATGCAATTTTTTGGTTGTTTTTTAGGCTGAATAATGTTGCCTCACCCAAGCAACGAGCACGGATCATGGTGGACTTCGAACATCTGACCTCTCGTTTGAGAGGGGTTAACGTAACCACTTCACCACCCTCCCCTAAAATAGTCTTCTTGAAAATCTTGTCCCCTCTCTACAGTAAAGTCAAATGAAAAAATTCCCATTCCTGCAATGGACAAATTCAACCTTGTTCTATCTCCAAAAGCTGAATGAACCATTCGATCTATGGGGTCTTGTCTGTTACACGGCCCCAAAAATTACCAAATTTTATTTGAGCTTCTATTTTGATTGAAAATCAATATTTTCTTTCGCTCAGTTAATTTCAACCAATTAGTTGAGAGCAATTGCAGAGAGCAATAAATATCAATTTTGGGCTGTAAAACATAAAAGACCCAAAAATATGTTTGCGGAACGTATAGGGGGCGTTCAACAGTGCCGAAGTACAACAGTGCCGAAAAAGGTGGAAAAATTTCAGAATAATTTTCTAAAGGGCGGGAACTTGAGATCTCGGAAAATCAAGGCAACCCACCTCGTTCCTCAAAAATTTTATGTATTCCCACTTTTCCATGTTCATTTTTGGATCTTTTCTATACCGGCTGATTTTTGTTCAAACCAAACCAGTTGATTTCCTAAACCTGCTTCAAACCGCAAACAAGAAGACCTCCGCTTTTGTTCCTGATCATCAATCCGTTTCCTATCGATAATTCTGATTTATCTATTTTTATCTGATCTTATACCATCATAAATAATAAAAAAAAAACGCGAAAAAACATCAGTTTCTGATCGCTGTTATTTATTCAGGTATAGTTTGAATCTGCTATGGTATTAAGCATTGATTATAATTGTCAAAGCATTTTTTGACCACGCTTATATGCAGTTTTATAGCAGTTATTTTGCTCACTCAAAAAGTAGTTTTGTCTTTGAAAATCGAGACAATTATTTGCACAACAATAATTCAAGTTGTTTTAAAATTAGCTTACCTCTTCTGATAATTATTCGCATCGTTCATTAAAACGTGTGGTTTTTTTGTTATAACTGAGAGCAGTTAAACCTCTTTGATTAATTTTGATGAGTTTGACGAGTTAATTGAGTGATAATCAGTCTGACTGTGATAGTGGCCTGGTTAATTTTGGATTTCAATTTTTAAAAAATTTCTTTTGTAGCGAGCCGAGCAGTTACTGTGATTCAGTGCAGAGAAATGCCTCGAAGCCGACTGCATACCCCGAGCACGGATAAGGATGGCAACTGGGTTAGTGAAACTTTCAGTTTCAGTTATTTTTTTTATATGAAAGCTGAAACTTGTTACCTATCTTCTCCCTACTGTACCTAGTAAAGGATACCCCCCCCCAGAATGAGACAATTCAACGCGGTCAAGCATTTATGAATTTCGCGCATTTGACTGCCCCTAAAAATGAATAAAAATGCCTCGAAGTAGACTGCATACCCCGAGCACGGATAAGGATGGCAACTGGGCTAGTAAAACTTTCAGTTTCAGTTATTTTTTTTATATGAAAGCTGAAACTTGTTACCTATCTTCTCCCTACTGTACCTAGTAAAGGATACCCCCCCCAGAATGAGACAATTCAACGCGGTCAAGCATTTATGAATTTCGCGCATTGGACTGCCCCTAAAAATGAATAAATGCCTCGAAGTAGACTGCATACCCCGAGCACGGATAAGGATGGCAACTGGGTTAGTGAAACTTTCAGTTTCAGTTATTTTTTTAATATGAAAGCTGAAACTTGTTACCTATCTTCTCCCTACTGTACCTAGTAAAGGATACCCCCCCCCCAGAATGAGACAATTCAACGCGGTCAAGCATTTATGAATTTCGCGCATTGGACTGCCCCTAAAAATGAATAAATGCCTCGAAGTAGACAGCATACCCCGAGCACGGATAAGGATGGCAACTGGGCTAGTAAAACTTTCAGTTTCAGTTATTTTTTTTATATGAAAGCTGAAACTTGTTACCTATCTTCTCCCTACTGTACCTAGTAAAGTATACCCCCCCCCCCCCCCCCCCCCCCAGAATGAGACAATTCAACGCGGTCAAGCATTTATGAATTTCGCGCATTGGACTGCCCCTAAAAATGAATAAATGCCTCGAAGTAGACTGCATACCCCGAGCACGGATAAGGATCGCAACTGGGCTAGTAAAACTTTCAGTTTCAGTTATTTTTTTTTATATGAAAGCTGAAACGTGTTACCTATCTTCTCCCTACTGTACCTAGTAAAGGATACCCCCCTCCCCCCAGAATGAAACAATTCAACGCGGTCAAGCATTTATGAATTTCGCGCATTGGACTGTCCCTAATAATAAATAAATTCATTCTAATCCGTTTTTGCGGAATGAATCACCAAGTGTTTGATGCTCTGGGATAGTCAAAATATGCTTCAAACAAAAAAACCAAAGAACAAAACTGAAAATGAAATGTTTCAAATTTCTTTCGACACCTGGTTTTTTTTAACTTCCTGCTCATTTGAGTAAAATATGGAAGTAAAAAATGGTCCAATACGACTAAGCAAAATTGAACTCAGAACCAAATAGAAAAAACAGCACCCTATTGCTTTCGAAGAAGCATAGAATGGTACAACCACAGAGCTTGAAGCTGAAAACTTGAAGAAATAACGAGAAAACAATTGTTTTCCATTTTTTCTACAAAACGTCAGCTGTTTTCTTGTATCTTGAGAGGACTTCAAATTCAGCTGCAGAAGTATTAAGACCATTTATCCACGAGAGAAAGAACCAACATACGAGCTGTACAGCTCTTCACGACGATCCGCTGTTGTGCCCCTGCTTAAGACCTACATGCAATTTTTTGGTTGTTTTTTAGGCTGAATAATGTTGCCTCACCCAAGCAACGAGCACGGATCATGGTGGACTTCGAACATCTGACCTCTCGTTTGAGAGGGGTTAACGTAACCACTTCACCACCCCTCCCCTAAAATAGTCTTCTTAAAAATCTTGTCCCCTCTCTACAGTAAAGTCAAATGAAAAAATTCCCATTCCTGCAATGGACAAATTCAACCTTGTTCTATCTCCAAAAGCTGAATGAACCATTCGATCTATGGGGTCTTGTCTGTTACACGGCCCAAAAATTACCAAATTTTATTTGAGCTTCTATTTTGATTGAAAATCAATATTTTCTTTCGCTCAGTTAATTTCAACCAATTAGTTGAGAGCAATTGCAGAGAGCAATAAATATCAATTTTGGGCTTTAAAACATAAAAGACCCAAAAATATGTTTGCGGAACGTATAGGGGGCGTTCAACAGTGCCGAAGTACAACAGTGCCGAAAAAGGTGGAAAAATTTCAGAATAATTTTCTAAAGGGCGGGAACTTACTGACGCTAATTATCAAAAAAATTCACTCCAGTTTTGGCGCCAAAATGTCTGCAACTGCAAATTAAACAATTTTTTTGGGGCAAAACATCTAAATTGCTCTAAATTTTCTTGCTCAAAATCTTATGGTCAGTTAATTTATAAAGGTTCGCCGTTTAATTTTTGATTACCGCACCCTATATGCTGAAACTTGTTCATATTTTTGGGAGTGCGGTCTCTATTTAGACAACCGCGTATTCCTACTCGTCAGGAAGCAGACAAATACTGTATGAACCAATCAGAATTGAGATAAGACAACAAACTTCCAAAATAAATAATAATTATTTATTAGTTTCTTCCTTATCCCGATTCTGATTGGTTAAAACAGTGTTTGTCTGCTTACTGACGAGTAGGAATACGCGGTTGTCTAAATAGTGCTACGTAACCATATTTTCGGAACTGTTGAACAAAGTTTTTATTTTCGGCACTGTTGAACTAATTGTTTTTTCGGCACTTGTACTTCGGCACTGTTGTACTGCCCCAACGTATAATTAGAAGATTTGACGCCCTGGGACAAAAAATAACTTTTTGATCCGAATTTGAAAATGTATTCGACGTTAGCAGGGAACGCCGAGGGATCCTAAATGAATCCCTCAAAATTGGTACTACTTAATAGGGAACGCCGAGGGATCCTAAATGAATCCCCCCGTGGTACTATTTTACGACATTCACCTTCAACTTCAGCCAAACGACCGTAAAGTGTTTTCTAAGAGTCCCACGTTCACAATATCTAAGAGTCTTGCGGGGCAGTTCGCTTCGAAATTAACGCTTTTTTTGGTAGACACTTTCAGAAAATTAAGTGAACAGAAAAAAAAAAATTTTGGCCTGTTTTTTTTATTCCCTGCGGAGCACATGTATTTACAAAATATGATCTTTATAGTGTTGTCGAAATCTTTGAAGAACAATTTGGCTAACCTAAAAGATAGGTTGCCAAATTTATTGGCCAACTTGAAAAAAATGTCAAAAAATTCTATATCCGCCCCTGGTATTTACAAAATTGAAGTTACATGTATTGAAGTTTTTGTTCCGTCTACTTTTTAAAGGTGTCTCTCAGTTCATGCAAAAGACAATCGCTTTTAATTGTTTTTCTTAAATCACATTTAAAAATGGTGAAAGTGCCTGCAGATTCGCTCCTCTGCTTGGTTGTGTTTAGAGATCACTAGAGACAACACTTTTAAAATCACTCGAGAATAAGTGGTTACGTAGCAGTATTTAGGCAACCGCGTTTTCAGACTCGTCAGTATTTATACAAATACTGTATGAACAAATCAGAATCGAGAGAAGGAAGAAATGAATAATTAATAATTATTTATTTCGAAAATTTGCTTTCTCGTCTCGATTCTGATTGGTTAATATGATAATTGTCTGCTTACTGACGAGTATGAATACGCGGTTGTCTAAATACAGACCGCATCCCAGAGTAAGTATCGTCAATTGAGTTTGAAAGTGGTTATACGAGTAATTTGGGGGCCGGCCTATTAGCATGTGTGTCGATTAGCATGCCCATATAAAAGAATGCAGTTTGAAGATTCGCTTTTTGCGTTTTGTTCACTCAAATTTGCCATTTTTTCTATCAGAGTGCACTTCGCCGAATTTTTAATTAGGCAAAAGTTAAACTTTTAATTCCCGTAACAAATCAAGTGGTTTTCGAAACTATTTGAAAATTTAGGCTAATTTGTTTTTCATCTGAATGCACACCCAATCAAAACAATTATCGCATGCAAATAAGAACACATGCTAACCGCTACAACTCCGAGTGATTTGTTACCCCAATCAAACACGTGGGTGGATCTTTTTTAACTACAGTCACAGGACAGAGATTGCAACTTGATGATTTCAACAAGCAAATGAACAAATTTTTTCTTCACGTTTTTGTCGGTTTCTCTGCAAATCAAATATGCAGGAAATAGAGTTAAATTACAGTTTGTCTGTCATTTTTCTGCAGCATGAAGAGTAAGTCAATCAATCAATCTGGGGGGGGGGGGGGGGGGGGGGTTGGGAATAAGAGTCGGGGGATGGTATCAGAGCTTTAAGCCCTCATTTCAAATTTCAAATTTAGTATAAAATGCGCGGGCATTGTGCCGACGGCCCACTGTTCCGATGGGAGACAGTGTCAGGTCAGATGTTGAATGACGTGAACAAACTGCACAGACCCGTAACAGTGCCTACGACTACTGAGTTGCCGATTAACTTCAACCGCCGCTACAGTCGGGACTTCTCTCTGTCGAATAGATTCTCAATGCACGACAACCGGAACAGAACCCAAAACTTTGGACACTACTTTGACGAGGTGAGGCGCAATCTTCAATACTAACAAGTCGTCTATCCAATCGCTGGACTCTGATCGTTTTCGGCTTAAGAAATATATTCTGGATGTTCTCCCTTTGTAGAGGTTGCAGCTTCCTCAAACAACTGAAAAGGTACTTAAGAGTTCCAGTTTTCCATTGTTTAAAAGTTGATTTTTTGTTAGAGATTGGACCGGCAATTGTACCCCTCGATTGACGCTCACAACTCACAAGCAGATCCAGCATTCTGGTACTCCACTCCCGCGGGACGAAGACAGACTATGGACACCACCCATCGGTACTCTTATCGCGACAGGAATCTCAAAGAGTCCAGAAGCAACTCCAGAACCGGAAACTCCAGACCCTGGTCGTCTTCGAACTACAAAGCAACGGCTGGTGTTATTACTCAGCACAATAAAGAGTTGAAAATCAACCGACGGTTTCCGAGAAACCATCTCGAACCAGAAGAGGGTTTGAAAGAATTAGACACGCATGTGGCGTATCCGAATAAACCACATAGAACGTTTCTGCAGACGTTGTGTTCAACTCAAGAGCCCTTCCTGAAGAAGAATAGCTGGAAGTACTCTTACCATGATGTAAAAATATAATGAGTTAGTTGTTGAAAAAATCAATATTATAATCTATTTTAAATTGGGGCAATGTTTTCTTTGAGATCAAATTTGGGATCTCTGTAAATTTTGACTGACTTCAACAACTCGCGTGAATCTTTGATTAAACAATTGATGACAAGCACAAAAGTAAATAGGTCCAACATTTTAGGATGATGTTTTTTCTGTTGCTCTAGTGCGTTTTTTTTTCAAACCAACTGCAAATCAAAATTCAAAAAATTAATATTTTAATATGCAACATTGCAGTTAAATATTGGATATTGGAAAAAATAAACTCTTCAAAAAATATTTTTTTTCAAATGTTTCATAAATTACGTTGGAATTCTATCTCAACCCTCTTTCTTCAGTGTTTATTCGCCAAAACTGTAAGAAAGATGCCACAAAACATTTTTTTTTGTTTTTAAATATTTATTCTATAATTTAGCTCGAAAAGTCATAAGTTTTTGTTTGAATTAGCAAGTGGAATGAAGTTGATAAGTTGAAGTTTTTGCGTTTTTAAGCACTTGGAAATACTAATTTTTGGTTCTGATTAGCGTTTTTATGGGACTCCGTAATTATCAGCCTCGGTTGTTTATCAATTGTTACCCATACAAATCAAGCCTCAAATACTTGAAAACTTTGAAATTTTAAAGTTTGCAATAAAAACTCACAAGAAAAAAATTATTAGTGTCACAAATAATGATAAAAGTCATACATACCTCTTGCAATTATTTAAAATCTAAAATATAAAACATGATCAGCTTCACAAGATCAAAAATTTTGTCAAATCTTACAGTTTTTACATACTGTCTCGTCATAATAATCAAATAGAGGAAACATCACGGTTTGACTTCTCTGGAAATTTTGACGCGCACACAAATTCAGCAAAAATAAACAAACTTTACATATCGAACTCACAAATAGAATAAACTCACAAATAGAATATACAAAAATCATTTCTGTTGATGTTTTGCAAAATAGTTCTACAAATACCATTTGTAGTCTCAAATATCATAGTACTAAATTCGGACATTATTTTTTGAAAATGATGTTTTTTAAATTAGAAAATTTTTGGTTGACAAACTTTAATGAGATGAATGAGGCATATATACAATGTTGTTTTTTGATACGCAAATTGATTCAACCACACAAAATTAAAGCATGCAATATGAAAATTTTGAAGACTTGTAAAAACTTGTTTAATATTGTGTTAAAAAAACTTTTTAAGTTATCTTTGAAGCTTAAACTCATGTTCGTAAACCAATCCGTTGATTTTATCTGTAAATATCAAGGTTTCAATAACACATAATTTAATTATAAATATTTTTATATTATTTTGTATCATTGTATATCATCGGAACGGAATGCGGAAAATAATCACATTTGCTGGTAGTTTGAGTGGACCAGAAAAATGCTCAAGTGATTCTTGGGTTATCTTATCAATTTATTATAGCGCTGAGAAAAAATTGTGATGAAATTTTGTCGCTACAAGATCAAGGTGAAGCCCAAACACGTCGAGACAGAGGTTTGCCGCGTTTTATCAAACCGGTCAGTTTGATTTAGATCTTGTGGCAACTTTCAAAAATTTTTGATCTCATTTTATCTTTCAATAAAAACTACCAAATTTGAAAATGTGCAATAAATTCTAGCTTAAGTATGCGCTAATATCTGATCTACCCTCACCGAGCACCCATAAATAATAATCGATTTTAATGTCATCCTATAAAGTTACACATTATTCGATTAAAATCCATAAAATTGGGTCATAATCCTAATACTCTTAAGCGAATATAATCCATTCCATTATAATCAAATTTACTGGGTTATTATGGACTTCTGTGAGAAACTACTGATGAAAACTCCTTTTTTAAAAAAGATATCTAATTTCATGTTTAGTACAGTTGCTACGTATTACTTTCAGAGCTTTTTACATTTCACATTAGAATTCCATTTTTCTCGACTTTTTCAAATGGAACTCTAAAGATAGTCAGCTGTCGTGCAAGTAGCACATATTGTTTCCACCACAAAATTTTAAGAAAGAAACTGAAAACGCTGAAACTGCTTAAAAAACGAAGAAAAAAAACAAGTTTTCTTGAAAATTGTTTTCATTTCTTCACAACTTTTTCCGTGGTTTCTTTTTGCTGAAATTCAGTGGGTTAAGAAGTCTATATTATTGCTAAATCTTTTGCCATGTAATCTGAAAGAAGAACAAATTCAGACCAGTTTTTCTCGATACAGAGTTTTTCTTTTGATTTTTTTTAAAATCCGAATCACGGCTGAGAAAGCTTTAATAAATTACTTCGTGAAGTGGTCTGCGCTAAAAAAAAACAGAAAAAATGAACGTGGCTAGAATAAATTCAAACCACCTAGCTTAATATTGCAAACTTAAATTATTATTTACCATCCCAGTTTCGAATTTCCTGCATAAAAATTTGACCGTTTTGGCTCCAAAACACAAAAATGCCAAAGACATGATTTATTGCATGCGAAGTGTTCATTGAGACGTTGGCTTTTCCAAAAAAAAGCTGAAGTTTTTTTCTGCTCCAATTTTTTGAACTCCTAAAGTTTTTTCATCCAATTAATGTGCACACCGATTTATTTTTTGCTTTATCCTGTCTATCGTACAGCGGCTTGGGTTGAGATCGTATCAATGCATAACGGTCAACCGATTCTGGCTCATTCGGTTGGCCAGATCTCCAGATACCCATAATATCCTGTGAAATTTCCACACATGATGTAGTGAACCAGGTGTTTGTGTTCATCGGAGACCAGATTCCCACCCAGATTTCATCTGAAGAATCCGCGAAGTGTTCGAATAGTTTCATCGTTTCATTGTGATCATAATCGGAAAAGCTATCATACAAACGTCCACCGATTGCTCTGCAGTTTTGATCAGCAATCTTCCAGGTGGTAGCTTCACTTATTTTCC